ATAGTATCTTCATAGTTCAAGAATTATTGCATATTCCTGGGATATCTACCAGTTATTATGCTGGGTTTATAGATTCAACTAAACTAAGAATTAAACTAACAACTATGAACTTGAAAAGTTGAATACATGGCAACATCTATGAGGGTTTATACATTTACATCTGTCAATTAAATTAAGAATTATGAATTACAAAGTTGGCCAACTTTCAACTTAACAACTAAGAATTAGGAAATTCTGGAGACAGAACATGAAGATGGGATTTGTTATTGTTCAAGTGGAGTGTGGTGATATTCAATTGGAGTATTTTTCATGGATTCATGAATTGTGGAGACCAAAATTACTTTTTAACATCATATTGATCTACAATCAAAGGACATCTCACATCTAATTCATAATTATTATCAGATATGTATAAACACCCTCATGATAATTAATTGTTGATTGTTAATTGTTAATTCCAAATTGTTAGTTTAATTGAATCTATAAACCCAGCATCAGTATGTAGTAGGGCTGCGCGATATTAGATTTCACATATCGGTAATCGATAAGTAAAAACAAATCGATAAGTTCGATATATCGATATTATTGGAATCATATATCGACATACCGATATATCGATACATCGATATTTTTGAAATTATAAATCGATTTTTTCCCACGCCTTAGTCAAAATGATTTAATTTTTTCTCCAAGCCCAAATGTTATAGAATCTTCAACCACACTAAATAAATCGGCATAAACTACCTATCCCCGTAACATATTCTCATGCCCGGAAAAACCTGAGAAAAAATTACTTTCTAAAATATTATAACTTTTATATTACGAAAGCGTCTAGGGTCACACAAATGAAATAAACTAATTTTTTCAATATATTGAGAAGAAATCGATAGTTATCGATATCGACATTTTTGAAATTATATTCATCATTATTCGATATATCGATATATCGATATATTTAACGATATATCGATATTTTTTCCCAGGCCTAGCATGTGGTAGAAAATTATGTAGGAAAATTATGTATAGGGTTTATCGACCCGACCATAACGATATGAGGTGCAATATTTATGACTGCATGAACGGAGAAATTCATCATTCATCGGGTGTCTTTATGTTAAGATAAGATAACCCAATTATAGGAAAAAATTACCTAAGAAAACATCATTATTTATTTAAAGATTCACACACCCAAGGGTGACAAGTTGGGTAATAAAACGACATGGAACAAAAACAGTTTTTTAATTGTCCGTATAGGTTACCTACCTCGTTACCTACATTACGAAATAAATCTATGCATTCCAGATATAAACAATCACTCACAAGCTGTGATCTTTGCCAAATTTCGCACCACATGGCCAGCCAATAATAATCACCAGATTCCTGACGTCAAACGCTTGTTTATCGAAAATAATTACATTGAAATTTATATCTCAAGATAAAAAAACGATATCTCCCTACACCTACCTAGCCATTACTTAATTATTGATATTGGCCATCGTGTGCCATCCTATCCTATTAAAATTGTTCCAAACTGACAGTTGGGTCAGTCGAGGTCACCGGACATACCTACATAATGGAGATGGGTGGAATTTTAATCTATCAGAAAACATTATACATTTGAAAATAGCATTGTTTTCATGTTTTTTCAGAGACAGTGCCCCGTAAACCAGATAGTGAATAGCTATAAGATAGATAAATCATGGAATATTTATTCATTTATTTTTTTACTTTTGCTGCTTTGCAGCATTTGTCGTAATCTTGTTTTGTTTGTTGAATAAAGAATATATAGATGGCAACTTTTATCAATTGGTAATGTACCTGGAATCAATGTCAACCATTTAGACATCGTTCCCGACTTCCCGGGATTCTCGGGAGTAGGTACACAAAATCCCGAAATCCCGGGTTTGAAATTTTGATCACTTCTCATTTCTCCCACATTTCCCTATTTCGTATAAATTCAGTAGCCGATATCATGAAGAGGATATGCCTTTTGCATTAATAATTCTCTTCCGGTGAGACCATGAGCCATGAGCATCGGCCGAGGCATCAGCGTGAAATTGTCGCAGCCGGCAAACTGAGATTTGATGGCCAGATTCATTGTTATTCGCTTTAGAAAGTTGAGTATGAAGTACCTACCAAGTAGGTAGTAGGTAGGTGGACTAGTAGTACCCAAATTCATACACAAATGAGAAGTAAGTATCGAATCTTTGGAACAGTTAGTGAATGTCCTTGATTAACACGTCTTAATCTAGGTTTCACTCATGTGCAAATCGAGTTCAAGGATATATAATATATTCGATAAAATCAGAGATAATTTCAACCACATGTAATATGACATGAGAAACTTGCTCGGAAACTCGCATATTTCCGATCATATCAAACTATAGGTACACGAGTAATTGTCTACTGATTTTAGTTGAATACCTACCTGCCTATTCTTGTATCCTAAATTTTGTAATTCGAGGTTTCAACGCTCGAAACGAGTTCAAGGATAATATCAGAGATGATTTTAACCACATTGTAACATGGCATGAGAAACTTGCTCGGAAACTTGCAGGAGATTTTAAACTATATGTATACACCTACTTGGTTACCTACCTACATGAGTAATTGCCAGTAATTGTCAACTGACTATAGTTGAATATTCTAGTATCGTGAATTTTGTAAAAAGTACCTACCTATCTGAATGAAAATTCGAAATTATTTTCATTTTCCTGAATGACCTGAATTGAGAAAAAAGTTGAATCTCCGGAAACCTCTATACAGAATCACAGAATCCAAGTCAAAATTTGATCAAACAGAAGAAAATAAATTCACGGAAAATTTGCGAAATACCTACTAAGCCTGTATATATACATATGGATATATCGAATAACGATATATAATTTCGAAAATATTGATATATCGATAACTATCGATTTTTTCTCAATTGCCAGACAATAGTTTTTGAATTTTTGAAATTAATTTTTATTTTTTTCAAAGGTTTGTTCAGGCATGAAAATATATTGCCTAGGTACGTAGGTCGTTGTTATGCTGATTTAATTAGTTTGGTTGAAGATTTTATAACCTTTGGTTCGGATAAAAAATAAGATTTCGAGGATTATTTTGAGTTAGGCGTGAAAAGGATTTCAAAAATATTGATATATTGATATGTCAATAACTATCGATATATCGATATTTATCGTTACTTATCGATAATCGATATGTGAAATCTGATATCGGGCAGCCTTAATACCTAACATTATTTTGTTGTGAACGTTCCTTGATCGGTACTTATAGATTTAATTTGGGTTTAATTCACATTCAGAATATTGGCCATATTTGTCGGGATACCCTGTAGGTAGGTACCTATAATGTATTTAATTAAACCTCGAATTGAACGTTTTCTGTAACTTCTGCATTGGTGAACGGAAAAATTACATTTAACATAAAGATGACCTGTTGAATTTGAATATGTAAAAATATACAGGGTGTTTCATTTGAAAAAACAAAGTTGCTGGCATTTCCGGAAAAAACTGGAAGTCGGCCATATTGGATTGTAATGTGATCAAATCTGAAATGGTTGCTTATATAGCTGTACCAAATTTGAGAAAAAAACGTTTACATATTATATGCAGATGTTACAGGGGTGGCCGATACCCTGTGTCGCCCGGTATATCATGTTTCAGAGACAATTTATATAATTTTCAGAGTGATTTTCATCTTAGCATTCACAAAGTTATTATTTGATAGTTCACCACCTTACTATGGTTCTAGAGTTGGTTCTAGACTTCATCAAGGTCTTGAAGAATGTGTTGAATTTTATCAAATATTATTCCATCATACCTGCATAATTAGTGTCAAATTTAGAGCACAAAAAGGAATCCGTATTATGTTCCTAAAACATCGTGTCTACCTAGAGAGGATCAGAAAAGAAGGTAGGTACAGGATTTTTTTTTTTTCAAAACCATAGTACATGGTTCAAGGTGTCAGATGTCCTGATGAAAGAGTACAGGATACCTATCCTTACAAGTAAATTTTGTACAGACTTGAAAATTTCATGGCTAATAATTACCTCCCTGTTAGGTATACCTGATACAAAATTCCATTCAGGTGATTATGAAATAGGGTGGTGCCAGGAAGTTGAATTTTGCCACCAAGATTGCAACAGTTTTTTATCCAAGTATTTGTTTCGAAATATCATCTTCAGTATTGCAGCTTCTTGTCCAGCTCTATTGGTATAAATGTTTATAGCCCAATGTCATAGAGACTTTTTCAACAATGTTTGATTGTAGAAGCTGCTGGTGAAGTAGGTAGGTACATATTATAGCACATTTTTTCAAGACACACTATACAATGATTAAGACTCCATAATAATAACACTTATGGTAACAGTATCTAAACACAATGTGTTTCTGTGTCATTGGTCAACACCTATGTATTATCAGGAATGAGTAGGTACTAAGATATCTTGAACAATTATATGAAAAACTAAGTAGCTAGGTATAAATAATCTCAGATCTGATAGGTAAAGTACCTACTTTCATATAATCTATCTATACTGGTATATTATTATTGAAATTCCAAAAGAGGCCGGTCATAGTCTCCTAGTAGGTATGAAAATGAATGTTACCTATCACCTACCCAAATGATTTAGGTGCAGGTTTAGTCATGGAATTTTTCATGGAAAATGTAATAGCAGAATACCTGAAATAAAGTACCTGAATCTGATAATAATGTAATACATTTTATCACTTCCTGCTCCAAGCAAAATAGGTACCTACTATCTTTTGTGTAGGTAGGTACTATCTCTTCAGGCATCCTGTGATTAAATTTTTATCAGAGCCATGACAAATTCCAAATATATTAGGTAAAGACAAACATAATTTGTGAAACAACATAGGCATTCAAAGTTATTAGAACTGCATTCAAGTAAAGAGAGTCTGTAAAAAAATCAAAAAAAAAATAGGAAGGTATGGTATAAAAGGGAAAGTATATCGATTGGCGATGTTTTACATTACCTCTTCCAATGTTGTAATAGTAGTCCTGCACTGCTGCATCTTCGAAACAAATGTCGAAGTAATAGGAGAGTTGTAATCATCCCGAGTTTCTTGGACAAAATCAGAAACCGTAATTAAAGTGGGCAATGTGGGCATGATGTATTGTATCACAAAATACGTCAATTTAGCATCAGTTCACACAGAAGAGCTCAAAGGAGCCTTAGAAAAACTAAGAATCACCTTCACCATTATTACACTGTTGTTAAAGTACCACAAAAACGTTTTGTTATTATTCTGAATGAATGAAAATTCAACTTTTTATTGACATAATGTATTTTCTGCAAATACTATCATGTTGATCTCACAATAATTCAATAATACCAACAAACTCGAGCAAAAGCGAAATCCTAAAAAATTCAGTGTTGCCACAACGTGAAAATATTTTGCACCGAAATCATCCGTAAGTTGTACCAGATTCTACACATATTGTACTAAACCCACCAAACTGAAATTTCGGGAAAATGAGTTTCAAAAGAGTCTCCTTGTTATGGAATCTTCAGAAACGAGAATACACGAGCAGCACATTTTCATTGGGGATCAGAGGAGAAAATATTTGAAAACGGAAGTTGATTCTGTTCCCATCGCTTTCTCTGTTCATAGCATATTGTGAACAGAGAAAGTCATAGAAACAAATGAAGTTCAGCAGGTAGAGCAAACACAATGCCTTATTGATGGAACAAATGGAACAGAATTGTCAATGGCACAGGGCATGTAAAGGTATGCACAAAATATGAATAAAGTATGGAAAAATTAATCATTTGAGTTCTGTGCTGTAAAAAATGAATCGATCGTTCTCCCCTCTTCTCCAGCACAGATTACTCTAGTTATTCAAACCCGTGAGATTCATATCCATTTAAGGCCTGTTCGTTTGTGCTTGCTCAACCTGCTAAACTTGATTTTTTTCTATGACTTTCTTTGTTTACATCATGGCATGGCATGAACAGAGACAACTATGGGAAAAAGATCAACTTTAGCCAGTTCAGCAATACAAACGAACAGAATCTAATTATTCACATAAAGGTTTGTTCTCGTTCGACAAATAAACAGGAGCATACGCAGTTTCTCAGAACTGGTTTCGGACTGTTTATTTTTCGAACGAGAACGAACCTATATATTCATAAGGTACCTACCTCTTTACCCTTCTTTACATTTCCTTGAGGCTTCCTCCGAGCTCATATTATTAGGACATGTTAAGACTATAAATTCGAAACTGGAAGCATTGAGGGAGGAAGTCACCAAAGTCACCTTAAGGAGCGACTATAAATACGGGCCTGAGATGACTAGGGTCGATTTTCGGAAAAAAAAGAAACATTTTCATTTTTATATTTATTTATGTATGTACCTGCGTTGTGAGTTATCCTCAGACGAATAAAAGAAATTTATTCGTCTGAGGAGTTATCCGTTCATTTATTTCATCATCAACAAATCTCGCTCTTGTTCAGATCTCGCTCGTTTTTGACGCTCGAAAAAAAAACGACCATAAATACGGGCCTTCTATTAGTGGCTTGAAGCGCAGAATACCAAATCGAAGTCTAGCAACTGCAATCTGCAATAGAGAACTGTTCGTTCAATAAAAAAAAACCTTGCCTACAGGCCCTACAGCTTAGCCTACAGGTTGTGGTACTGATGGCCTACAGGCAGAGGCCAAATATGGTATGTATTTCTGACGAACTCAATATAAACACCTTATATTGAGTTTCAGAATTTCAATTTGTACTAGAAGTCATCCCGAAATTGATCTGAATTCAAGTGAATTGTACTAGATTGAAAAAATATTGCGACGAACATGCCCATGCAGAATATGGAGCACAAGCACAAGTGGTGGTTGAACTTGAAAATTTGAATCACACATTTGATGAAGAACTTTTGAAACAATTATATGCAGCACATATAAGACCTCTGAAAAATGGGGAAGAAAATATAAGAAATACGTGTATGAAATAAAAAGGAACAGATTAGATCATAGATTGAGATCAACAACTATTAATCAATTAATCTGATGATATCAATAATTAAAAGTCAAATCAATTGATTCCATATCATTCTATAGCTACATCTAACTTTACCGTTGTTGACTCTGAAATTGAAGACTTCTTATCAAAAAGAGCTTCATTAGGATTCCGATTTTAACATATCATATTATATTTCCATGGTCTTCACTATCACATCTTTATTTGTATGCAATAATAGCTTGAGTATCGATGAAATGAACAATGAATTTTACAATTCCTTGATTTGCGCCTACTTCGATAAACATAACATGTCGTGGGTGAATCTCGCTTATGTCTAGTACAATAATTAGTACGATCAATTTGATCGAATTGTGAACAATGAAGATAGGGAATATATTTTGCGATTTAGCCGCATCAAGGTTGGTAAAACTGATGTTGATAATAAGTTTTAGGAATCACGCCATCTAATATTCAATATGTGAACCCCACTTCATCGTCTGAAATTCAATAATTGTTTATATCAAGGACAAGTCTGACGAAACAAATGAAGCGTGAGCGTACCCATTGAGTATTCACACTCAAGGGCGTACCAGAGGCACCCAGAGGTTTATTTCATCAACGCTTGGGCTATCTGGCTCCTATTTTTGTACTAGACTATTGTAAATTGTAATGACGTACTAAATGTCTATGAAATGTACTAGAAAATTACATTCGTGAAGAATCAACTTTAGCAAGTTTAGCAATGCAAACGAACAGGCCTTACATGAGTAATATAATCTAGAGACAGGACGCAAGAGACAGGGAGCAACAAATTATCCATGCGCAAGTAATTCAGAAAATTTCAGGCCGAGAGCTTAGCAGATAGTGATGGTTTTAGCTTTATTGCCCCTCCCATGTTGAAATTTTCGTATTCAGTAAACCTTGATTCGACTTATTGGTACATTGAAGTTCAATTTCGAAAGGCCAATCTGACCAAGGTTAGTCTAAATTCTCGAGTGGCAACCCTGTGTAGGATCCATAACAAAAGGAGAACCAAAACAATAAACATTGCCATATTATAAGATAAGATATGTTTATGAGTGATTTATGAAGTAGATGTTACGACATTCATGTGAGATGACTATACATATAATTTCAATCACTTCCATATCACTTCACAATCTTATAAACTTTATAATTATATATAAAGAATGATGAATTAAGACAGTTTTGAGTATCCCGCCCTATGAACTTTTCCCTCCCAATGAGGACAAGCGATTTGATTCGACGATTTTCATGAAACTTCATTCTCTCACCAATCAGATTCTGTTTTGTCCGTGGCACATGCGTGTTCATTCAATTATTACCACAGTTGCGTGATATACCTCGTGCAACCGGCCATATTGCATTGAATGAGTGCGTGAATAACAAAAGGCTAAAGTAGCCATAAATAAATCTTCCAACATCCTTCGGTTGTGAAGACTTTCCTATCAATTGATCATCATGGAAAATTCCTACGGAATCGGCGTGGCGAATAGGTACGCTCTTTTTCTGGATGATGAATCCGATCCATTAGAAACACTTTCCTTGAAAGAACAAGAAAAGGAGTCGAAAAAGAAGATCAAAGTTGCCGAAAAGGAAAACAAAGTGAAAACCGAGCCTGTAACGAAGGGAAAACCTGCACCTGCCCCCAAAAAACCGGTCAAGGACCCTAACTTCAAACCTCTGGATAATAAACGGGATGGTAAGTTGAGAATTTATCGAGTTTGAGGCGGCCATTCTAATCGAAAGGTAGTGCACATGTGATTCAGAGTATTGTGACTAGAGAAAAAGTAATTGAGTGAAGGAGTCGATGATCGAATTTTTTTGTAGAATCGAAAATAACGCAGAGACCGAATGCCGATGGTAAACAGGACCGTGAAAAGTCTTATAATAAGACTAATGAGAATAGGGAGGAAAGGAATAACAGGCGAAACCGTGAAGACCGACCGTTCAATGGACCTTCTGAAAACCGGTGAGTTTTTTTATTTTATTGATATCAAAATGTGACATTTTGTACATGTGCTATATTAGTTTGCGTAAATTATATAAAGCTCTTGGTACGCTCATACTTGATATCTTCTGACAAATATTAGGTAACTGGTATACTTTAGAAAAATATGTTGTTCCTGTGTAGCACTTGAGTAATTATCAATACATTATAAACATGTTTTTATAATAACTATATCTGGTAGCATAACTTGTTTTCCTGTCTTTTCCTGAGTGTTGCTTTGGTATTTTTGAACAATGCTCTCTTTAGCTGATTTGTGATGAAGAGAGTTCTTGATGTAACATTGGTTTCAAAAACTGACAATATCATTTTGTTTTCCTGTCTTTTTCCTGAGTGTTGCTTCAATATTTTTGAATCAATGCTCTCTTCAGCTGATTTGTGATGAAGAGAGTTCAAGATGTAACATTTGTTTCAAAAGAGACCGTGAAGAGAGGCCACGACGGGAACCGACTGGGGACAACTTTGAAAACCGCAATCGTGATAGGGGTGAAAGGAGAGATAGGGATGGACCACGTGAAGGGGGCCGCGAAAATCGGGAGGGAGGTCGTGACTCCCGCGATGCTCGTGCTCTAGGAAACAAACCTGGTGGTCCAAGAGGGCCCAGGAGGACTTTTGATGACCGACGAGGCAAGCGTGAATTTGACAGGCAAAGTGGATCTGATAAAACGTAAGTTTGATACAGAAACTCCAACAGGGCTCCAGTGATTTCATTGTTGTTTCCCAAGTTATTTCTTTTAACCATTTTACATTATTCATGAAGATTTTGTGTCAACTATTAGTTCAATACCCAGTCTTTATCAACACTGGGGAAGTCTCTGTTATATCCAATTGTCAAGGTTTCTTATGGACAAGAAAATTGAACAAATCTGTTTCACTATTATTTTTGAATGAATAGGTGCCAGAGTTCTGGAAACATCATGGGATTTAATTTCCAGCCAACATGCCAAAAATCATTGATAGTTTCTTTATTGGAAGAGTCTTTGTTATGACCTCATGTTCAGCTTTCCACAAAGACAAGGTTAACTATGATCAAATATCATCTTGATCCCATATCAGTTTGAAAAAAAATTGGTAAAATCATCACAATATCCCAGTGATCAGTCCACAAGTTATTGGGTTGCTTGAAAACTTCATAAGGAGAGGTAAATTTCCAGAAATAACTGTTTTTCAAGGAGTGATCCAACTGCAGCAAACAGGATAGCAAGCAATATCCTTTTTTTGTATTTTTTTCATTATCATTAATGCACTATTGTTATAATTATTATTATTATTATTCCTACTTTGTATATTATATTTTGTAAACTGGGCTGAAAGACTTCAGTCAATGGCCTTTTGGGGTGTATCCATAATGAAGATTTTCTCTCTCTCTCATCACCAACTCAAAACTACAAAATCCTCTAAAATGATTTGGTGTTCTTTTTCTCAAACCAATACCAGAGTTCTGAAAAATTATGGGATCCTTAAAAATCATTCAAGAGTCAAGTAATTTATGGCCAACAATTGGAAATATAAAATTTTAGTGAGAAATATTCAGGGAAAGAAACTAACAATTGAAGAACTGAGTACAAAATAAGTCTTGAGACTTGTAATACACACAAATTTAAGTATACCTTATGAACCCATACCATTTAGTAAGTAATAATTATTGGTACTGTATAAAAATGTTGATATTTGTGGTTACTTCATTTGATTTATTTTCAGAGGGAACATATTTTTCCCAAAGAGAACATATGTTTATGTTTGCAATTTGTACTCACTGAGATGTAACAAAAACTATTCCTACTCTGATCTGTCCCCCCAAAAAAAATCATAATTGGCGTCATATTTGCTGCAAAAGGAATAAAAACATTTTTTTGTCAGATACTATCTATCAAACCTCAAATTTCCTGATGGCTTTCAAATCAGTGATGATATTCTAAATGAGGATGGTATTTGGTTTGGTAATTTCTCTACTTTCTCATGATGCTTTCATGACTTTGAATCCAGTTGAAATTCTGTGCTTCTCTTAGTACACTTTTGGCTCAGAATTAATTAAGATTGATTGATATCAATACTGAATGCAGCCATGGTTACAGAGGAGTTAAGCCGGTCGACAAACGTGACGGAGCTGGAGCCCATAACTGGGGATCTCACAAGGACATTATTGAGTAAGTTTGGAGGAAACTGTGATTTTGTTACTGAGCAATCAATTTTTTTCTTGTTTTTCAAGGGAAGCGGATAGGCCTACTAATGAAGCTGATCAGAGTTGGGGTGATGAAGTCAAGCCTGAAAATGTGGAACCAACAGAAAAGAAGTAAGCTTCATGATTTACAATGATTTTTGGTCAAGTTCATGCATGGTGTAGATTCTAAGGAATATGATGGAAGAATTCTTTGAGAATAGTTTTTTTTTCTTCAAATTTGAAATTCATGAAACTGATCATTTGACTTGACTATTGAATCTTCCTAATATTTTTAGAGAGGATACTGAAGCCGAAACAACTCCTACTGAAGAAGAACCTAAAGAATTGACCTTGGATGAATGGAAGGCTCAACGTGCTGGTCGCGCTAAGCCCCAATACAACATTAGGAAAGCCGGTGAAGGAGAGGACCCCAGCCAGTGGAAGAAGATGTTTGAACTTAGGAAAAAGGAAAAGGAAGAGGTGAGCTACCTGATATTTTTCCAATTATGATAGCATAAAGCATGAGGAGTTGAAGTTTTGAAATGAATTAATGCATGTACTTTTTGAGAAAAATGCTAGGAAGATCTTCCTTGCTGAAATACTTGTCTCCAGATTGAGATTTGGATGACCATAATTTGTGATATCCATAAATGCTTTCACTTTAAGCTAACTGAAACAAAAGTTCCTTTTCTTCCTTAAGTTTGAGAATATTTCAGAATTGATTTGGTAGATTGTTTTGAAAAAGGTGTTACAAGCTTTTCAGAAAATTTTAGGTACATATATTGTTGAAAATTGCGTTTATTTTCATGTCCATATAAATGATTTCCATAAAAATTTGAGATTTTGAAGTTTCAACGCTGATTGAATTCGGAGATTTTGGCATCAAAAATAGTCCTGTTTGAAAGTTACTGTTATAATCTGGTATTCTTCACCACCATCTTATTTGTGCACTCCAAGTTCCATATTTGAACACTTGGCATTTGGCCACAAGGCCACATAATAACCAACAATCTAGAGTGAAACTCTATACCTCCAAACATTATGTGTTTGAGGATAGTGTAGGAATCATTTGTGAAGTGTTTGTTCTAAAAAAAAAAAAGAAAAAAAAATAGGTAATCGTCTACTCACCAGAAATTTTGATAACATGCTAATTTGTTCAACGCCATTGAACCCGGATAAATCCTTTAAATTTATCATTGGAAAGAAATTCGTGATATTTATGTCAACTACTTTTTGTGGGGTATTTGTACCTTTATTCTAATCGGACACTACTTTGGCTCCCGCAGTTCCGATGAACATGATTGAATTGAATTATTGAACGTGGCAGTAGATGTCTTGAAATCAACTAAGGTCATGAGCTGTCAGTGAGACATTTGTTCTATTCTATCAAACAGCACATGACAATAATAATCATTTTTTAACACTATAAGTGTTCAATTTATGGATGACGGATTTTACGTTCAATGGATCAATAGAAAATGTTATGAAAACATCCATTTCTTGTAGGTGAAACTTCAAAATTATAAGGGAATTGAGGAAATTTCCTTCAGATGAATTTTCATAAAATACGTTCATAGCTCTCCAGTTTTATGTCCATGCTGTATGTATGTGTATGTAATCCAGAGGTTGTGAGTTCCACTCTCACATGGGGCGGTGGAGTTTTTTCATTTTCCATTGTCACTGGAAATTAGGGCTTTCCATCCATCATTGTCTGGTTGAGTATCCGACAAAAATGATAACTCATTCCTATGTAAATCTGATCTGTCTAGAAGTTCGTCACATTGATTCAGTTCTATTGGAATGTAATGATCTGTGATATTTGGCTGTGTCAAGTCGTTCGTCCGACCACAGTGGTGATACCAAATGGTCAATGGCTGTCTTGACTTCCATAAGTAGTCGACGTGGTAACTTCGTGGGCAGGTTTGAAACGTGACCAATATTCCTAAACAGCTGGTTGGTCAGACTGATGGTCAGACTTCATACTGACCGTATGTGCCCGGTCAAACCAGAGACTTACCACAGCCTTTATTCAACCCGGGGTCGCCCTGATGGAGTCTCAGATGGCCAGACAAATTTTAAATTACTGGCATTTAATTTTGAATGCACGCACGTTCCATTGGTTGCCTATAGCTTCTCAAAACACTTTATTTTGTGATATCATTCTGGTGCCTATTTAGTCTTGAGTTAGGTACCAAGATAGTGACAGTGCACAGCTTTGGGGTCTGAGAAGCCCCATCCGCGTAACAAAGATATACATTTTTTTCTAAGAAATACATGTAAATTTTCATAAGAAAATGGATAATTTTTTTTCAGGTCATAACTTGAACATTTTAATAATCAGTTTTGCATGAAATCTTACAGAATTAGGTGTTGTATATTTTTTACACAGTTTCCAAAGATTTTTTTCCGTGAGAATTTCGCCATTTATATGTCGATGATATCTCATGAATTAAACTTATTATAAGAAGTTTCTGTTTATAATTATGAAGTAAAATACATCTGAAAACTCATTTCACATAGAAATCTGGAAAAATTCTTAATGGTTTCTTTTTTCCTCCCGTGTCTAATTATGGGGTACATCAAACGCCACCTGGTCTTTGATGATATCTCACGAATTAAACTTATAAGAAGTTTCTGTCTATAAATATGAAGTAAATACATCTGAAAACTTATTTTACATAGAAATCTGGAAAAATTCCTAATGGTTTCTTTTTTCCTCCTGTTTCTAATTATGGGGTACATCAAACGCCACCTGATCTTTATAGTATCCTGTTGAAGCCCTTAACCCGGCGTAACCCAGATGGAAAATCTGTACATTATCATTCAGGTGACGTTTGATGTGACTAGAAACGGGAGGAAAAAAGAAACCATTGGAAATTATTCCAGATATCTATGTAAAATGAGTTTTTAAGGTGGCGTTTGATGTACCCCATATTGGGGGTGTACACCTTAGTAGAACTTTTAACTCAAACCATGTTTATAATGATCCTTTTATACATAAATAATGATTGACGACATAATTCGATCGAAAAATTAACTGGGATGTTTATTTTTGGACATAAATAATAGTACCTTCTGAAAACGGACCCTCTTATGACGTAGAAACCTCATCTCGCCATAGTTAAAAGAAAATACCAAACGCCCGACGGATACTGAGGCAACTGATATACTTATTAATTCTTTCAACTGTGATCTCGTGCTTATTCACTCTGTCAGATATCATGTATCATTCATCTCTGTCTGGAATAGTCTTGTTTCCGTATTAGGGTTTTGACGTCACATCATCGCCTCGTTTTCAGAGGTCCGAAATATCGGGGATTTCAATAATTTTTCATAAAACCTAGGGTAGGGAGCTCACAGCAAGAAACGGTTTGCGGTAGTGAGCTAGTTTGGGTGAGTTCTATCGAATTATGAAATGAAATTTTTTCGTGATATAAGCCCATTAGAAACGGGAGGACAAAAGAAACCATTAGTAAGAAATAACTATTTCTTCTTCTTCTTCTTCGAAGGAATCTGAGGAGGAGGAGTTCGACGCGTCCGAGTACCCGCAGCGCGTCGGCCGCCAGAAGCACCTGCTCGACATCGACATCCAGTTCAACGACAAGCGGCGACCGGGCGGCGGCGTCGGTGGGCGGGGTGGCAGGGGAGGGCGGGGCGGGCCGGGCGCGCGAGGAGCACCGCGCGGCGGTCGGGGCGGCGGTGGCGGTCGGGACGGCGAGCGGGACGGCGGCGAACGGGACGGCGGCGGGGGTCGGGAGAGGGGGGAGGGGCGAGACGGGGGCAGAGGGGGCCGGGGCGGTGGTAGGGGCGGGGACGGAGGACGGGGCGGAGACGGCGGGGACAGGCGTTACAGGACGGAAGAGCAGGTGAGCGGGGGAGGGGTCTGGAGGCGGGGTGCACGTGGAGTGTGGGAACGTGAAGGTATCTTTGACACAATGGGCGTGTACACCTTAGTAGAACTTTTAACTCAAACCATGTTTATAATGATCCTTTTATACATAAATAATGATTGACGACATAATTCGATCGAAAAATTAACTGGAATGTTTTATTTTTGGACATAAATGATAGTACCTTCTGAAAACGGAGACCCTCTTATGACGTAGAAACCCCATCTCGCCATATATATATATATATAAACCATATATATCTACTACTGATATATGAATCATAGCTCTCCTCAAAGCGGGACCCATTTCTGTCTCTATAGGTAATGAAATCGACCAATAGGCGTTGATACCGACGTAGGGAAAAAATAATAGGAAATTTGTCAAACCAATATGGCTGTTTCCATCCTTCACTTTTCGTTCTCATAGATTCAAAGAGTACCTCTCATTTTGGTCCCATTTTTGTTGAGATATCGTATAGGCGATGCGCCATATATAGAAATAGTAGATATATGGTTGAAACTGACACTCTCCTGACACTTATTACTGTTGCCATATCATCCAAACAAAATATCCGAGAAATCGAAATCGATATTGAAATATCTTTTGGTATCCACCACCACTACTGCAGAAAAATATATTCGAGTTGTCGATTGTAGGTTGAATCATTGGAGTATAAACAATCTCTAGACAACGAAATGTCTCAATCTCAAAACCATTTGCACCATTACAATTTCACAATAATCCAATATATTTCATAAACATAGCAACATTGCTTTGTTGACCCGTTTCACATGGAGCTGCAAAAAGTCAATCTAGGTTAGAATTGATTTGTCAGAAATCATGTATCATTCATCTCTGTCTGGAATAGTCTTGTTTCAGTATTAGGGTTTTGACGTCACATCATCGCCTCGTTTTCAGAGGTCCGAAAAATCGGAGATTTCAATAATTTTTTATAAAACGTAGGGAGCTCACAGCAAGAAACGGTTTGCGGTGGTGAGCTAGTTTGGGTGAGTTCTATCGAATTATGAAATAAAATTTTTTTGTGATATAAGCCCATTGAAGTTGTTGCAATAAGTAAGGTTCAAGATTCTAGATTTATGTAATATAAATAGAAACGGGCAGCAAACCAGAATTAAAATATAATAGCTGTAATTCCTCCAATAAGGTTGTTTGAGTGGCTTGACCAGAAACGATTATTGGAATATCATGTTATATTTTTTATACTCTTTTAACAACAGCTCAGTCAACGACTTTTTCTTCAGATTCCCGATGATGTGACAGAAATATAGTTCCGTGTGAAAAATAATGAACTGTGATTTGTTGGGTTTCTGAATTTCAAATCATAAAAACCATCACGTCCGTATCTTAAAACATGAAATTTATTGCCTATTTCAGAAATTTGTGTTCTGTTGTTCGCCAGAAGGACCTGTATGTTTATTTTATAATACTTTCATATTGAATTATAAAACTTGACACTAATAATATAAACTTCAATTGTGTCACAGGGAGTTGGTAAGAAGATTTATCCAATGAAAAAAAGAGTGAGTATTTTTTGACAAGATGAATCAACGACAATGTAAATGAACAACAGTTTTCTGTGGAGGACTTTATATATCTGTTCCATAACAGCATAGACTTTTTTTCAATATTCATCAAACTTCAACAAATACCAAGTGGCCCAGTTTATTTCATCCTAGTGTTGATATTAACGGTTGTAATAAGAATTGCTCAATATTGGCCATTGATGATTTGTATGTTGCATTGGCAATAAAAAACTGACAGAAAATTGCTAAATATAGGAGTTGTTCCATTTAGAAATAAACATATTGTTTGTATTTTTCAGAAACTGTAATTTGTCAACGTTGATAATATAAAATTTAAAATCGATGGTTCATCTAATGTTTGGACCAGAATTTTGTTATTGGATCTCGAATGTTGAATACCTCTTCATGTTCCCATACTTTACGCGCGCACGTGAAATGATAATAAAATAAGCATGCAGTTTTTATACTTCAAGTGTTTGCTTCGTTGAATTAACTTTTTTTATTGAATTTATAATTAAATTTTTGAAGGTGTTACAGCTTGCCAAATTTTGAGCGACCAAAGAAAAAACGAAATTATATTTTAAAACACTGGAAGTGGGTTTCTTTGTTTCTCATTGCAATCTTGATTGAATAAATTCAATGTTAACAATTCACTTATTATTCCAAGGACAAAGCCAAAAGGGTGATGTTTTTCATGCGAATATTTTTGTTTTATACAGTTGCAATAGCAGTTCTGGAAGAATTCATTTCCGAAATATTGCTTGTTGAAAAATTACAAACATTCGGTATTTTACTGGGAAATACAGATAGTGAATAATAGTAGAGTACGTGAATTTGGATCGATCTATCAGCAAAACTAAACAACGTACATAAGTAAATTATGTCCAGTCAGTGTACTTTTGACAAAAACCATAGAGAAAATAATTGAATGTTTCCGGTTTTACCGGGAATATACCTTGGTCGAGAATTTTGAATGGAACCCTGTAAGTATTCTTACGTCATTCGATAGAGTGGAAAATTCCCTTTATAAGATATCAAGCAACCTAATAAACTATCAAATTAACAGCACTTTTATTAGTTTTTGAAGAAAGATGCGAAAATTTTGAATCACAGCCAATCAGGATTCCTTTTATTAATCATTTCAAGCGACATTCCTTTTCTTGAATCTCCTGGAAAATTTCAAATAGGAAGTGGTACTTTTTTCAAATGGACATGAAGTATACGAAAATTTGATCGATGACGTCAGTGTCGCCAGGAAAATGTCTCCTGCGCCTTGGGAACAAATATCCAACAACAATGCGAGAAAAGTCATTGAAGAATAAACTTTCTTCTCTATCAAATGGCGTAAGAATATCTAGAGGGTTACATTCAAAATTCTCGTACTAGGTATACTTCTGGTAATACTGAAGTGATATTAAATTATTTTTCAATGCAAAATATGGGTTTTAGGATATCTTCAGTCCAAATGTTAAAAATCCAACATGATAAACAACTGAATGTCTGTCCCATGATTTCATTGTCACCCGGTATTTGGACGATTATTGGAAAAGAACTCCACTTCAAATGAAATTGTTCTTTTAGGTTGAAGAAAAAAGTATTGAAGCCCGCCAAGCTCCAAAAGTTGATGACGAACGTGACTTCCCCTCTCTCGGTTAGATGATTCATCGAAGGTTGGCCATGGTTTTTTTTCTAAATAACTAGTTTTGGTCGACTATGGAGGTGACTATCATCACATTATTAATAAAAACTGTATATTACAATTTAACTACTTTGTTACATTGGTACAAAATCTGTATCTTAGACAAAAAACGATGTCTTTAGACTTCTTAGCAAGTTTTTCCAATTATTCAATTTCAGTGTAGACTGAGCCACTACAGGGTGAGGTTACTAGTCAGTGTTAAGCTGCATTGTTAACAGTTTTGTGGCTGCTCATTATAGTGTCAACATCATTTTCAAATTGCCTTTTCGAATATAATATCAAGTGCATTTCTACTTCACCTATTTATTTATTTTATAGGTTGATTCTTTGATACAAAGTGTTTTTGTATCGTATTTTCGAGTACGTTAACCGTACTGAATGTATTACTTGAATTTTAATAATTTGACTGAATATTGAATTATTCAAATTGTCAGATCAAGCGTTTGGAAGCAATCGGTACACCAATGAGTTTTTCTGTCGGTAACAGGTTGTCCAGTGACATTATTAAATAGTCAAGAAGTGTTTCATCATGTGGGTTGCTTCCAAATACTTCAAAACTGTCAATGGTTCAAATAATGGGTGTTATGAACACTTGCATAGGAATAACAAATTTGGCTTATTTTTTTTTTACTTTTTGTTTGAATTGTAATCCATTTAATGAAAAACAAGTTATCTTCTAGTAGTTGAAAGTGTATGGTACACATCTTGAATACCCAATAAAATGTTTTGTTGTAAAAATCAATTTTTATTTAAATTGTTTGGATCAGGAATGAGTGTGTAGTACAGAGGGACTTAGATTTGAAGTTTGCAAGAAAGGATATAGAATAGGCGAGTGGACTAATTTCTTTTTATTTATTAAATAAAATCATCACTTGAATACCTTTCAATTTCATATTTTTTTAGAATTTCTCGGTCGATTTTGAGGTGTCAAAATCATCAATAATGCCACGGTAATTTCCAAATGGCTAGAAATGTACCGCGAGTAACTGTCGTCACGATTTAGTAGGTAGGGGCAGACCATAGCACAGTTGCAATATATTGAAATGCAATTGGAAACTTCAGAAATATTATTTATTCAATAATCCATAAATTCTCAATTATCTATTGGTAATATTCCTAATAAGCATTACAAAATCAAGTGTCTCATGTGTTTTGGCTTATTGGTTATGAAACATTTGTGTAAATAATAATCATATCAACTCACACTGAAGGAGATTTGAACCGGTAAACGCTCGGCTAAACGTGACAACAACGGCGCACGAATTTTGGGCGTGGTCTTGCCAGTTCTCAGCATTCAGCCCAATGTTGCCAAGTCTCCAACATTTACATAATATTTTGTTATGGAGTATAAGACATATTTGGACATACCGGTTGCTTGAAAAAGTCAAGAATTAACTATAATAGCATGGGTTCCTTGCCAGCTAGGCTCAGTTTCGATCATACCTTGCCTGAGCAAAGGTCTGAGGGGTGCCAACATATATATCTGCTCAGACAGCCAAGCCGCACTAAAAGCCCTAAAATCATTCGTTTTCACATCAAAGATCACATGGGACTGCTTTGAAAAACTTATGCAACTAGGAAAGGACAACAAAGTCACACTTATGTGGGTTCCAGGGCATGAAGGAATCCAAGGAAATGAGGCAGCTGATCGCCTTGCAAAAAAAGGTGCAGCATCTGCACTTTTTGGCCCTGAACCTTTTTGTGGGATAAGCAAATGTCACCTAAAGGAAGAACTCAGGAAATGGGAAGAAATTGAAAAGTCCTCCTACTGGAGAGCAACTCCAGGTCAACGACAAGCGAAAAGGTTCATCAACCATTCGCAGAACCGAGCCAAAGAGCTACTCAGCCTCAGCAAACCAGAGCTAAAGCTTATCACAGGCTTTCTCATAGGACACGGCCCTCTGAGGTACCACCTCAAAAATATGGGTCTGGCGGAGACTGACACTTGCCGCTTTTGTAACAATGCGACCGAAACCGCGGAACACATACTTTGCTCATGTGAAGTATTAGTCCGCCAAAGGCTGAACCGCCTAGAACAGGTCTATCTCACCCCTGCTAAGGTGGAAAATTCAACCGTCAGGAAAATTGTAGGCTTCATCAGAAGTCTAGGGTTAAAGGACCAAAACTAGATTCGCAGTGATCGAGAGGTCTCCCAGCCTATACGACCCATCTACAATCTACATGGGTTGCTTCTATTATGTTTTATTCAACGACAGGACTCTAACAACTTTGTGATAACATGATTATAATCGGTGACTTGGCAACCTTTCTGCATGAGTGGGAATGAAAGATTATCTGACCAATAACGAAACAGCCTAAAAACTGTACTTATCACCAATTTTTATAATGCAATATACTATTTGCTCATGAAATTTTAATCTCAACAGTGCTTCCTCCAAGGAAGCGTATGGGTCGGTAACAAGGCCTATATCATCCAGAACTCTGGGCTGAAAAAGGACGCGCATACCAGCGAAGTACATACGATGCAATTCAAAAGAATATCCCAAAAATTTTTTGATGATTGATAGGAAACTATTTTTAAATAGACCTGATATAACTTATTTCAGTCGACTTTGGTGTCAAGTAAGTTTGTATGTTTTAGACCGAGGCTCGAATTCTCGCAAATTTTAGCAACGACTCCATCAATTAGTGAGTAGAAGTTGTTGATGTGAACTGCCAACATCCCGTTGGTTTATAGCTTCCAAAGCGTATTTCATAACAAATGGCATAATAAGCCATTTCACTTTCCATCACTGAAACTAAAATGGACACTGCATTTCAAACACATTGCAAGTGACATGATATTTTTAGATTTCTCATTTTCATAACATCATTTTTTCTCCTTCTTTATTGATACACACCTAGGTACTGTATCATTGTGTTTTGCCTGAATTATTGAGATTGCTTTTGGTGCTAAGATATTTTTGTGAAACACTAGAGTGAAAACTATATCTACTAATAATCTATTGGACTGAGCTTTTTTTTTACTCAATTCGAAGAAGTCATCGAGCATATAGTTTTTTCTTATGTTATTACTTTATTATAATAGTAATTAAACCATATTTGAGTATAAATATTTTTTCTCTTCCCACTGCAAAGTTTTACCTATATTTTTCAAAGGATCTTAGTTTTTTGAACCAGATTGGTATTGAAGAAAGTAGGTTGTGTACCAAGTTTCCTTGTAGGGTGTCAAGCCAAAAAATTATCACAGTACCCACTACTGAGAATAATTTATTTGGGACATCAGTTTATTGTAAATATTTCAAAACTACATACCACTGATAGGTTTGTATTACAGTATCTCACCCAAATCGCCCTTTCAAAATTTTATGTGAGTATGGCAGCAGATTTTACAACATTGCTCCCTATATCAATGTATTGGATATAACAAAATAATAAACGATCTTCAATATGGTATAGTATATCACTTCACTGAGTCGTCCTATACAGGGTGTCCGAACTGATATCAATCCTTAGTAAGAGGAGAAATTTGATGAAATTCCTACATTTTTTTTGTGAGGATTTGTAAAACTTGGTCGCGACGTAGTAGGTAATGTTTAAGTTGAATAATATGACTCGTTTTATAGGAATATACATGCATCCTCGAAAAAAACCGAATCTCCTGTTCAATTTTGTCTATTTCATTTGTCATTTTTCATTATTTTCAATACTAGAAAAGAACAAACACTTTATCATAAAGGATATCTATTCATCTCACAACTCAAGAAGAAATAGTGCTATGAAAATTATGAAAAATGTTTATGCCACCTTCTATTTTGAGTTAATTATCTTGATCACCGAAAAACTGTTCATTTAGTTCAATTGAAGGTTATGCATTTTCCCAACAGAAATTTCAAGGAACTGAGACTGCTCAAAACTTCTTCAGTGACATCAGTTTAAACACCTATATACAATTTTTCACCATTTCTCAACCATAAGGCTTAGTCTGAAATCAAAATTCATTTATTGATAGGTACTGTCTAAGAACAGTCCCATTTGGTAAAACGTATTCAACTTTCAGAAAAATTTGCTCACTGCCTCACAAAGATTATGCTAGAGTTGAAAAATCAAAAATTCAAATATCATCATCATCAATAAGGGGCCAGGTAGCCGTGCGGACAGAGTGTCCATATTCTAATCCGCATTCGCTTGCCGGTCGTGGGTTCGATTCCCGTCGACTGCAGAAATTTTTCTGATGGCCCAAGAAAGTGTTTGGGATCACACGTTAAAAGGTAAGGCCCCCGTCATTCCTTGCTCGCACAAGACTCTCGAAGACTTCTGAGGGTTGCTCGTAAGGGGGCAACCGAATGACGGATAGAACAATTTTAGAACAACAACAACAATTTGGATTTAATATGTAGATTTGAATGAGAAATTACATGTGGAAATTACGTATGATACGCCAATGTCCTCAACATAACCTAAAAAAACAACAAATGTCAGAAATTTATCCATAGAAATGAATAAAGATGGGACTAATATAACTGTTTCACAAACACTTCAGATTGAGGAGACGAGGATCTGTCCGTACCCACTGAACTTTATAGTTCAGGATGACAAATACGTCAATTTACACCAAGGGACCCTACCGAATACCAACTTTGCTGAACTATTCAACCGTTCTTGAGTTATCGCAAAACACTTTTTGCATGCCTTTACGTCTCCATGTATCTGAAGAACTGAACACTTGAAGACCTCACGTCATTATATCCTATTCCATATAAAATCTTGAGGTTCATTATTATCTGTTGGGCGTTTCCGGTCAAAATTCGCAACATATCCTGTATAGGAATATACACCAAATTCATATCTAACATTCAACAACTGAAGACATCTCGAATTAATTGAAAGTTACTGAAAATTGCGAGGAAGGGGTGATCCAATTATTCATAAGGATGATGTTCATTTCCGGTCAAACCGGAAACAATATTCATTTGAAATACTATCTGCATTCCTCACTGTATATATTCTTATTTAATCTGGTATAGGCACAGGACACCCTCTTCAGTAGTACCATAAAACGATGGCGGAATTTAATAGCAATCTGAACACCGTAAGGTTGCTATAGGTTCGATCCCCGGCAGAGAAGATAATTTTTATTCATTAAAACGAGTTAGGAATTCTATTTTCGTAGCCTCTCGGCCGGAATTGATTGGGCACGATTCGCTGTTGCGTTCAAATTAACAGTGGCTGCTCCTAATAAGGTAGCGTATGGAGGCAGGAACAAAGCCCACACAGAACACACATTGGCTGAAGGACCTCGTAAGGTCGATGGCCAGTTGGCAAGTACATAATTATTATTATACTAACTATAAATAAAACTGTGAACTCACATTCTCATGTATTTACT